GAGTGAGTTTGTGTGCGTGTGCGAGTGAGTGTGTGTGTGCGTGAGTGTGAGTGTGTGTGAGTGTGTGTGTTCAGTCTTTGTACACATCAGCGAGAAGCTTTCTAGTAAATCTAATAAACTCTTAGTGGCTGCTGCTGTCACATGATTAAGAGAAAATACAGACCAGTTTCCTCACAAACACTGCAAAAACAACCAAGACATTGAGAAGTCTGAATGAAACAAGGACACAATTATAACCCTAACATTTACATCTTCTTCTTGCCCATCACATCCTATAAGCACAGCTAATGATTATGAGTTAAAGAGTGAGACACACAAGAGAGCGACGGCTTAACGAGATCATGGGTAATTAATTACTGCATCTGGAGTTATTACCTGTGGATTCTCATTCAGCTCGACCTCCACACATCATACATGCATCATACAGTCATGGCATGATTTGCTGTTCATTGGGAGTTTGGCATGTTCTTGGGCTACACTTTTCCCTTTCTGTGTCTTTGACTCTGCTCTGGATTGCATCCAAGTGTTTTTCCAGGCATTCATCCTAACCGTGGGTATTTCTCAGACGAAATGATGATCTCAATGGCCTTGGTGGAGAGCAGACATGGCCTGTTTGTTCTTTCTAATCTGCTTCTGTTTTTAATGTGCAGAATGGCTCGTCTGCACCTGCTTTAACACTGACTGGGACAGAGATACGATGACAGATTCTCAATTCCCAATACTAATTTCATAGGGAAAAACATGTCTGGAAACTGCAACCATTCACTCTGTCAAAATAAAATTCTGCTAGGAACAAAAAGGAGACAAGAGGCAAAATATTACAATGAAAGTGAATGGGTGCCATCAAGCTTAAAAAGCACCTTAACAACTGAACCAAAGAACTCACGCTCTTACTTCAAAAAAGTAGAGCGATAGCTTCTTGAGGAATGAACCAAAATTGTCATTTTTCTTCACTGACATTGCACACTGTGATCAATTTCAACACATACAAGATAGACATGACATCAAACTGTGTGTAACATGTTGATGTGCCATATTTGTATGTAAGAGAGCAGTGTGAGCATCCTTCTAAATAACTACTTTCATGTTCCACAGAAGACAGTAAGTTATACAGGTTTGGAACGGCATAAGTGAAAGTTAGTGTTTGTAAAGAGAGAAGTGAGAGTCTGTGAGCGGCCCTCGAGTCTGAGGCTATATGTGATGTGCTTTGAGGGAACAGGATTGATCACTGATAGGATTTAAGAGCAGTAAAATGATGCAAAATGCCGGACAATAAAAAAAGCTTGATCTTGACAGTGGTAAATCTCACTCAAGCCTGAGATCTGGAACATGAGGTCCGTCTGAATGAAGCATCTCATAGTAACAGAGAGGAATGAGGCACTTACTTCCCCCTCCAGGAGTGTTTGGTTGTGTAGAAACAGGCCAAGTCTTTGTTGTCTTTGAGGACGTTCATCTTCAGGCAGGGCCTGTGAAAACAGAAGAGGGTCAGATTCACTCAGGTACGGGACAAACACACAAGACAATGACAGTTGGGCGAGCCGAGAGTAAAGCAATGCAGAGAGAGCCGTGCTGAATGTCTCTGTCAGCAGAGCTGAAAAACACTGACTCCTTCCTTCCTTCCTTCCTTCCACAGCACCTCCATTACAGCAGCTCAGAAGCACCTGACTCACAGCGTATGAGAGCTAATCATTCATCACAGCTCCAACACTCAAGACTGACTCAGGCTCTCTAACGCTGTTAACACAAGGTCATATTTAACCTTGGGTTCATGCAATCCTGGGTTTAATACTGTTATACTGGCTAGCCAGGTTTGGAGATTTTACACTGTACACTGGTAACATCTGAGCTAAGGCCGTAATTTGCTTATTAGTAAAATTGATTGGAGAAGTATAATACATGACGACAATGAGAGCTGTTTTAACAACTGCTCGTTCTCATGTAAATGCGCTCTGTCTTCAAAATATAATAAAACCAAACTCTTCATCATTACATTGAGTTAAATATAAAATCCCTGATCTAGAGGACTGAATGCACTTGATAAAATGACTAAAGTAGAAGTGTTAAAAAATTAAACATTAACGGCGTTAAAAAAAAATTAACATTATTCAGGTTCAAAGTAGAAGCCTTTGTGTTTTTAAAATAAATGTAAATAAATGAACAATGAGGAGAAATGAATAGGGCCTTCACAGTTCTAAGGCTTGATTATAAATCCGATAAAAAATAATCAAAAAGTGCTCGCCAATTAAAAATCTCCTCAATTCATAGAGAAAGTAAATTAAAATCAATTAAAGTGAGTGAGTGAGTAAGTGAGTGAGTGACATGTGGCCAAGTGTGGTGTCCCATACTCAGAATTTGTGCTCTGCATTTAACCCATCCAAGTGCACACACACAGCAGTGAGTAGTGAACACACACACACACTGTGAACACACACCCGGAGCATACATTGTGAGACTATCTAAATTTCAGCATTTTGCCTGGATTTTGATATTTATTATAATTCCTCTTCTCATTTCTTTTTATAGTTTGACAGATGTAGTCACTTCTTCCAAATGAAAAACATCTCCTTTTGTGGATGTCATCCTAAAAACAACTGGTAAACACACACACATACATTACCACTTTCTATTTTTTTAGTAAACGCCAAAACAAGTCTTCATGCATTTGATCAGTTTTGGAAGATTTTGCAGGCCAAAATAAGACTTGTCCCTCTCTCTGTGTGTCTCTCTGTAGTTATTTTGGTTTCATCACCAAGCACCCGATGCTGAACAGGTTTGCATGTCACGTCTTCGTCTCTCAGGACTCCATGAGACATGTAGCTGAGTGTGTGGGGTGAGTGTAACGCTCTTAAACATCACAATAACATTTACAAGAAACATTTGACACTGAGAATAGCGGAGAAGAGAAGTTAATGAGAGTGATCGGTCTCTGCTTCATTATCAGAGCACAGGCCAGACTGCTGTGTGCATTATTAAAGCTTCTCTCTTTTGGAGTTATGGGCCCCAGCAGGAGGCAGCTATCTCTGCCTCATTACATAATAGGACCTTATGAACATATACATTATTTAGCCTTATCATTTAGCACAAAAATGAAGGGGAGAAAGTTAAAGAACAGAAACTAAAGATGTTTTTATGACAATACTTTGTTTTCATCATTAATAACAAGACAGAAGCTCATCAACCTGCACACTTGTACAGACTCACAGCTTTAGTTTTCTGTAGAGTTGTTGAAATTATTCATTATTATTATTGCACACTTTATGCGACTAGTAAAGCCTCCAGCTATGTAGTTAGCTGGTGTGACTAGCTTCTGTGTTATAATGTGTACTGGCCTTAAATAGACTTAAATGGATCTTTTTAATATTATTATTTAAATTATTATTTAAAATGAAAAATGAAAATGAAATAATTATCTAAATCCTGGTTTACTGTGAACAAATTGTTCAGAATTTGCCTGAAAAAACAGGCAAACAAAATATGCAATAACTGCTCCGCACTGGATAAATAAATAAATAAATAAACTAATAAATAAGAAAAACATAAATTACAAATAAAAACAATTATTATAGTTATTTAGTCAATTTGACATCAAAATTGACCTTATTTCGTTTATTATTTAAATCCTGGTTTATTGTGAACAAACTGGTTCTGAATTTGCCTGAAAAAACAAACAAACAAAATATGCAAACATTTGACGTCAAAATTGACCTTGTTTAATTTATTATTTAATTCCTAAATATGATGAATATGATGGTTTGATCAAATATGAGCTATATAT